CTCCTTGTAGCCTCACTGTTCCACCTCCTCCCTCTCATTCACACACATGCACTCTTACTACAGCTGACTTTCATTCCTCTTCTTTCAAGTGCATACCTCCACCTCTCCAAGTTCTCTTCCACCTGTTCCCTGTTCTCACCACAGATCACAATGTAATCTGCAAACATCATAGTCCACGGGGATTCCTGCCTGACTTCATCTGTTCTTCGGTCCATCAACAGAGCAAACAAGAAGGGGCTCAGAGTTGATCCTTGATGCGCTCCCACCTCCACCTTCAAGCTATCCATCACTCCTATAGCACATCTCACTACTGTCCTGCTGTCCTCATACATGTCCTGCACCAGTCTAACACACTTCTCTGCCACTCCAGATTTCCTCATGTAATACCACACCTCCTCCCTCGGCACCCTGTCAAATGGTTTTTCTAAATCCACAAAGACACAATGGAGTTCTTTCTGGCCCTCTCTGTACTTCTCCATCAGCATCCTCAAAGCAAAAGTGGCATCTGTTGTGCTGTTTCTTGGCATGAAACCATTACTGCTGCTCACAGATAGTTACCTCTCATCTAAGTCTAGTTTCCACAACTCTCTTCCAGATCTTCACTTATCTCAGAAAAAGAGTGCTCATCATCTCATCAACTTAATTCCCCTGTAGCTGCTACAACTTTGTACATCATCCTTGTTCTTAAAAATGGACACCAGCACACTTCTCCATTCCTCAGGCGTTTTCTCATCCTCAAATATGCTATTGAATATTTGGGTCAAAAACCTTGCTGCCATCTCTCCAAGACATTTCCAAACCTCCACTGGTATGCCATCAGGTCCTACTGCCTTCCCCTTCATTCTTTTCAGAGCTTTCCAAACTTCACCCTCACTAATCGTTCCCACTTCCTGGTCCACAGTTTTTATGACCTCTACTTTTCTTTCTCTTTCATTCTCTTAATTCATTAGCTCCTCAAAGTACTCCTTCCATCTTCCCATCACACTGTCCTCACTTGTTAGAGTGTTACCATTCCTATCTTTAAAAAGCCTAACCTGCTGCACATCCTTTCCAGCCTGATCCATCTGTCTCGCCAATTGGTACAAGTCCTTCTCACCCTCTTTAGCATCTACCCTCCCATACAACTCATTATATGCCTTCTGCTTTGCCTTAGCTACCTCCCACTTTGCTCTACGTCCCATCTCCTTATATTCCTGTCTCCTCTCTTCAGTCCTCTCACTCATATTTCTTCTTGGCTAACCTCTTTCTTTGAATAGCTTCCTGCACTTCATTATTCCACCACCAGGTTTCCTTATCACCCATTCTCTGTCCAGATGACACACCAAGTACTTTCCTACCTGTCTCTCTAATTACTGTTGCTGTAGTAGCCCAGTCATCTGGAAGCTCTTTCTTACCACTCAGAGCCTTTAACAGCTCCTCTCTGAATTTCTCACAATATTCTTCTTTTCTCAGCTTCCACCATCTGGTCCTCTTCTCTGACTTTACTCTTTTTCTCTTCTTCACAACAACAGTCATTCTACACAGAACCATCTGATGCTGTGATGCCTTAGAATTGCCACCCTCAGTCCTACATTCTTGACTTTCCTCTTCTCCATCTTCTCCTGAAACGTTTATCTCCTCATGGTCTTCAACTAACTGTAGTACAATTTCCTCCGGCACCCTGTTCGTCAACGGCACCGGTGGCGGTCGTTAACCTGGGCCTTGACCGATGCGGTATGGTTTTGATGAACTCACATTATAGGTCCATTCCTCCTGTGCACTAAAACCACTAGTCATGTTCTTCAGGGGCATGAATTGAACAGCCTCAGAAAAACATCATCACACACACCCTCAGCCTCTCTTTCATTGTTGCTCTCAACGTCACTTTAGTCTTGAGGCAAATTTGCCCTTGAGCTTGTGCCGTGCTCTTCATCACGCAGCAGTCCAGCATTTCAAAACCCGTTGGTGACAAGAGCATTTTTTTACACTGCTCTGCTGTCAGGATCCACTGGCAGACTGGAGCAAAAATTGCTCTTCGCATGCGACCAGTTTTTGTAAACGATTTCTCCACTCCAATCGTCCAAGCCTCCCACTGAGCTTGGAGTACCACTGCATGATTCACACTTATTTAGAGTGGCTGCAAATACTTGGTTGTGCCCCCAGGGATCACGTGTTTCACGTGATCACAAGACGCGTTTTGGGCAGCTATGAGAGCCCAGGTGTGACTAGGCTAAATGTTTTGGTGGCATGAAGCTCGTTAACCTGTAAAAATCCATAAATTAGCCGCATCGTTGTATAAGCTGCAGTGTTCGAAATGTGTGAACAAAGTAGCAGCTTATAGTCTGGAAATTATGGTATGTAATTTGTCTTGTCATTTATCTGGGGGTTTTATTGACACATCAAACCTGACGATTGTAAGCAACTTTACGTCATTTTTACCAGGAATGCACATGTGATCGTGTTGTGAACTGTAAGGCAGAGCCATCATCTGTAATAGTTTCTGATCCCGATGTGTTCATGCACTGACCTGTTTCTGCAGCTCCTCCTTCTGCCTTCTGGTTTCTTCCAGAGATTTGGCGATTTCGGTGCTCATCGTTAGCCGGCTGTTCAGCTCCGTCTGAGGGACCACACCGAGACGCAAACTCAGAACAACACATCACCTGTTCTTATGAACTGAAGTGAACTAAAGCATGTCAATGTGTTCCATACAGATTTATTTTAACCAATCCTGATTTAACAAATTGTGTATTCACTAAAAGGAGAATTAAACCTAATTTGGGCTCAAACCTCAATAGTTTGACCCTGACCTTTTTCTGAGTAATATCTTCAGAACCTACACTTGGATTAAGCAAAGTGGAATAGTCTTAATGACGACACCTTGGGGGCTGTAAAGGATGTTATTAGTTATTGAGTACTCAACAAAAAGCCTTTTTTAATATTTCCTGAGTACACGTGCAAGAGGGTTCTGAAAGAGAGCAGCTTGGATGACTATGTTGAGCTGAGAGCCCTCTTTAGACCTGGCTAGCTCCAGAACAGGTTTTTGAGATCAGAGCTTCAGGTAAGATCATCTGCAGGAAGAAGATATGCTCTTACAGATCACTTTCACCTCCCAGCCTGAAGGCCATGAGTTTGGAGTGAGACGGTCACACTTTGACAATGGATTGTTCAAACAAACTCATTTTGTACAGATTTTAATACAAACTCACCAAATTTCATCTTAAAAACAAAAAAGGAGCTAACTTCTGAAACTGAGCCCGTTTTTTTTTTCTGTGAAAAGTTTTCATTTTCACCTTGCACTGCTCCAGCTGAGCTGTCCGCTGCTTTAAAGTGGAGTTTGCCTCGACCATCTGCTTCTCCAGATCCACCTGATGTTCAGAAACCAGGATGTCAAAGATTTTTAAAAGGGAAATCGTGACCTCTCACAATAATTTAGTATTTCAGTTTTGACAAATACACAAAACTCTGCCCAGCAAAGAGGAGACATGAAGCAGCAAACATACGAGCCTGTCCAGAAGCCTCTGTTTGTCTGTCTGTAAAGACATGAGGCTTCCTTCCAGCCGACTGGCCTTCTCCTGACTCTGCTGCTCCAATAAACACACCCGCTGATCCAGAAAGGCCTTCTCAGCACTCAGCTCTCCTTGCTACAGAAACAACACAGAAGCAGGATTTAATCTGAAGTTCTCAGCGGATCACAAGGTTCTCCTCAGAAAACAGAGCAAACAGACAGTGATTAAGAAAACACAGTGCTTGTTTTACTGTGAAATAAGAGCATATCACAGTTACTGACAGATTTATATGTAGACCAGGAATGTTATGCTTGTTAAATTTGCTTTTCATGTTTACCACCAATAACATGTGGTAAATGATAAATCACGTTAAAAAAACAGCAAGGAAGGAAATAAGTCAAGTCAAGGTTCTTTATAGTCATTCACATCACGTGGTACATGTAATGGAACTAATTTGTGTACACAGGGTCCCAGTTACACTCAACAATAGTATAAATTAAAAAAGAAAAAACCAGTAATAAGATCTAAGATATGAACTAAGAAATACGCTAAAGGAAATAAGGAAGGAAGAACGGATGGATGAATGGATGGATGATGGATGGATGATGGATGGATGTTAGCTTTTGTTCAATTCAATTCAATTCAAATTCAAAAATACTTTATTAATCCCAGAGGGAAATTATTTTGTTGTTGTAACTCGTTATCCTCATTTCATAAAGAGATGTTATAGATGCTGATGCTGTAGACAGGAAGGATCTCTTGTAAAGGTCCATCCCACAGTGGATCCTAAGAAACTGGCTGCAGATGCCGTCCGATCCGTCCACCCAGACTCAGCTGGCCTCTTGGTTCCCCTGGACTGTAGGACCGCTTGAATGGTGGGCAGAACTCCTCCCAGAGCGATGGCCACTCCTCCCAGCAGTCTGCTGAGCTCCTCCTCGCTGCGGACAGCCAGCTGTAGGTACTGAGGGATGATCCTGTCCTTCCACTGTCATGAGCCGTGTTTCCTGCTAGTTCCAGGATCTCAGTGGTCAGGCACTCGAGCACAGCTGGCAGGTAGATGAGAATGAGTCCACAGAACATCCTTTCAACTCATTTGAGAGTTGGGGCCATTTTGAGATATTATTTCAGCTTTTGAGATGTTATTCAGCTGCTGTTGTTGTAGAAAACTGCCTTGTTGCCATGGTTACGCATCATAACAAATGTCCAAAACTAAAAAAAGTTTCAGTAAAAATCCTTCCAGCTGCACAGCATCTGATACCAGAGGAAACAATCATCCAAAAAATGTGATTTACATCCAGAAAAAGAGGAATTAAAGTTTCCAAAAGCAAAATCTCAGAATGAAAGTAACAGAGCTGCTCCAACATGCAGCCACCTGGAGCGGCGCAATTCTAGAACTCAAAGCTCAAAATTCTAGAGTTCAAAGCTAGATGAATGAAAACGTTCAAGGAGTAAAGGATTATCACACAGAGCCAGACGGACTGTGAATAATAAATACTCTCCAGTCCAAACATGCTGTTTTTTAACTTCCAACAGTTATTGTAATTTTAATACGTGTTGTCCATTCTGTAGGTTACCAGTTTATCCACGTGTTGCCGTTTCTCTGTGACCTGCTGCTCAGCGCTCCTCAGACTCTCACTGCTCTCCAGAAGTTGCTGCTCCAAGCTCACAATCTGAAACAAAAACAGAACTATGGACTGGACAGAACTCGACTTTAGAAGACTGAATCCTGCAAAAGGTGCAAGACGTTTGGGAGACTCCTGGTGAACGTTGGCCACCAGCCCAGAGAGATCCCACTGCTGGAAAACTTTAATGCAGAGGTTTCTTCACCCCTTCGCTCTGGTTGACAATCAGGGATTCTGTTACTTTTTGGAGCTAAAATAATCCTCTGCGTCTATAACAGAGGGCTGAGTGGTTTAAAAGTTGTCTCACTAGTGAGTTGTGGCTTCTTAGAAATTTCCAGACAAATTGAAAATTTTATGTACATTTTTTAAAATCTTTCTTGAAACATCAAAACATCTTTAAATTTACAGTAAAGACTTTTCGAGGTAGTGCAGTTTTTAAATTGTTTTTAATCTTTCAACCAGTGTTAATCTGGTGAGTGTCCCCTTTTTCTACTTTCAGCTGCTCCTTCTTCAGAGGTCACCACAGTGAACGAACCCACACGAAGACTTGGTGATTGTTTTGACACAGACTGTCCTTCCTGACACAACCACAGACCACCGAGCTACCGCAGCCCTCTGTGTGGAGCACAGAGCTGCTGTCTGGAGCGTCCGGGGGAGCTCAAGGGCCCAGAGTGGGAGAAATGAGGGTGGAGACAGGTGTGGGTGCTTCACCTTTCCCACCCACATTTTGATGTTGTCGGTCCGGGGAGTTGAACCGGCGACTTTCCGATGACAGGCCCACATTCTCTAACCTCTGCACCACCACTCCCCCATTTATAAATAAATAAATCATAAGTTTAGTGCAGGGCTCTCTTGTCAATGAGGAGCTGCATATTGTAAAAATAATGTTTAATGTTGCCCAGTTATAAAGTCACATATACAAGTATTTAACAGGACAGCATCTATAACTTCTTCATCTGGAACTAAACACCAACATTCTGAACCTTCAGCTCGAAGCTTCATGTGATTGTATGTCAAACATTCATTAAATACTCATTTGTTACAGAACTACCACCTAAAAGATGCGTTTCTTCTTTTTATTTTTATTCATTAGTGCAGTG